ATTTTAAAAGAGAGTTTAATATAATATTAAAATTAATATTAATTTTTCTTTCTCTTAAGTTATTAAAGAGAAACGTAAACTTAATTATATTATATAATAAAATAAAAGGTAATATTATTAAAGACACTTTAAGTAAGAATAATAGAAAGAATACTAATTAATATAATTAATACCCTAAATTATTATACACCCCTCTAGTGTAATAAGGCTCTAGTAGAGGTACGAGCCCTATAATGCCCTATGCTAATAGCGGCCCGCGGGTGACCGTAAGCCTCAGTAAGGCGACCCGTCAATCGCGTTAGGATTGTATTGAGTTAAATGTAGTGATTTGCAAGACATTATCTTATAGGTATACTTATTATTAAACTAATTTCTTAGTAAGTAAATGTACCTTTCTAAACTAAGCTTCTTATTGGATATATATCCCTGCAGATACTCGATTGGAGCCTTAATACACCAGAGGGAATGTACTCCGTACAGTACTCGGTGGTAAAGAACCCCCTCAGTGCAGAGTCGCGCGTCGTTTTTTCCCTCGTGTGCGACTCTTTCAATATACCACAGCAACGCTTTCCGCGCTGCACAATGACTTTCACCGAAGAACAGCTCGCAACTATAAGCAATCATCCCCTCGATGATAGCGTACGCTCTCACTTCCATGGTGTTACAACTCAAGGAGATGCAGCGGAGGAAGACCTCTCAAAGTTGTTAGGGGCGCTTGTCCTCTCACAAGCAGCCCTTGACCTTCGACCCTTCGACGGAAGAGGCAGTGTGGCATCCAGACTCTTGCCAATTCGACGGAATATTCAAGGAATTCGTGCTGAAATTTTGCAGCCTCTCGTTCATGCTATCACCACTAATTCATCAGATGCCGAAATATGGGAAGCAGTCCTCGTTCTGATTGAGGGCGCGAGCCCGTCAACGCCTCCACCTTCCAGTCTCGTCCCAACATATTTTGGAACGCCGGTAAAGGCCAGCTCCCGCCGGCTTGCAGATAGCGAAACGTGCGAGGTTATTGAGCAGGAGCTATTCTTCGAGATTCGCGACTGCACCCACCGTGGCGTACCAGGGTTCTTCGATAGGCACTTCAACCCAGCCAGCTGGAATAAAGAGCAAAGCGCAATGCTGGAGCACCTGAGAAAACATCACGATGGCACCCGGTGGACCGACTTCCCGACTGATCCATGGGAGCTCCAGGTCTGGGACTGGCTGGTTGCGGTCGAGGAGGCTGCATTACAAGGAGCGCAGTACAAACTGCACTCCACTAGAACCGCCAAGGAATTCAATGACCGCAAAGGCCAGATGGACATTTTCTTTCAGAAGCCGAGGAAGGGCAGACGTGAGTTAAAATACAAGCACGTCCTTGTCGTTGGGGAGCACAAGCGATCCGAGAAGTCGGCAGACTTCAAATCATGCCTCCTGCAGATGTCGCGGCACGTGCGCGACGTGTTTGCTGACCAACCTATGCGTCGCTTTGTTCACGCATTCACCCTTCGTGGTACGATTATGGAATGCTGGGTCTTCGACCGATCTGGTCCTTATAGCTCTGGTGAGTTCAACATTCACAGGGAGCCTGACAAGCTAGCGCGCGCATTTGTTGCGTATGCCACGATGGACGATGCCGCAATGGGCCTAGACACGTCAATCAAGCTAAACGAGAGGCATCACTATGTGATGGCCAAGGATACCGGAGGACAGGATAAGCAGGTGGAACTTAACACGTTGCTTGTTCGGCAACGGGCTATAGTTTGTCGAGGTACGACGTGCTTTAGGACTCGCCAAGGGGTGGCGAAGTTCTCTTGGCGATCGGTCAAGAGGCCATCCGAGGTCAAGCATCTCATGCTGGCTGAGAAAAGAGGCGTTAAGGGAGTTGCAAGGGTCATAGCACACAACGAATTTACGACTATTGCCGATCTCCGCACCGGATTAGAATTCTCTTCTCGCACGCAACACAAATTTCAAGTGGCTGCTCAGGATCGGGCAGGCTCGACTTCAGGTGGAAGAAAATCAAATAGCAGCGGATCGGACAGGAAGCGCAAGTCAGAAGACGAGGCAGGGGCCGCAGGGCGCTCTGCGAAGAAGCGCTCCAGCAGCCCGAAATCGGTCAGTCATCGATCGAGCGACCAAATAACATCGAACTTGCACACGTTGAACCGCAGCGAACTTTACGAGAATCGAATATTGTGCTGTCTAGTTATCTCGCCACCAGGAAGAGTTGTAAGCGACTTCGATTCTGTCCAAGAGCTGCTAGAGGCCCTCTGTGATGCCATTAGAGCTCATAGGTCCTTGTACTTGAAGGGTGGAATATTGCATCGCGATATTTCGTCTAACAATATCATTATCACGAAAGCAAAAGATCCCGGTGACTTTAAGGGAATGTTGATTGACCTTGACTTGGCCAAAGAAAGAGAGACCGGGCCAAGTGGTGCCCGCCACCAGACTGGAACCATGCAGTTCATGGCGATTGAAGTGCTGCGTGGGATAGACCATAGCTACCGTCATGACTTGGAGTCATTTTTTTATGTACTCCTTTGGATGTGTGCACGTTCTTCCTGGGCGAAGTTCGGTGGAAACGACGAAGTGAAACCCCGTGAAAGCGAAAGCGATTTACGTAACTGGGAAGTGGGCAGTTTTAAGACGGTCGCGACGGCGAAAGAGGGTGATGTGACTGTGAACGGCCTCGAGAGGATCATGGGAGAGTTTCCAAGCGTATTTGATGTTGTTAAGCCACTTTGCCTTAAGATACGGAGATTACTGTTTCCTTTAGACATGGATGAAAGGATGAGCTTTGGGACACCTGCAGGAGAGCCAGAGCGGCTTTACGATGCTATAATTAAAGCCTATGATGAGGCTATTATTGGTATCAAGTCGGGTAGAAAAAATTAAAATAGGACTGTAAAAGAAAACTGTGATGCTGGGCGCGTTAGAGCTCTCACGCAAGGACAGCATTTTAACATTGTGCAGTAGCTAGCTTGGTGGTGGTTCGACGTGGATTCTCGCTTGATGTCGAAACTGCGCTTCGGCTAGATCCGACCTGCTGCCAACAACATCAACACACCACTCCAAGTACATTTTGATTTCCCGCCTAATAAATTCTCGGTTTCTGTACCAACTCTTCCCGATGAATCTCTTTAAAACGCCAGAATACTCCTCCATTGGGCTGAAGTCCGGGGAATACGGTGATGATTCCTCCACGAGCACGCCAGCTGACCAGTACTGATTTGGGCTCTGGATACCTGCCACAATGCTGCAATAGCTGCTCAATATACAAGTCAAACAAATGTGTATTCTTGATCCTTGATAATCCCACGATTTGATAATACCGCCTTGCCAATAGGCAGGCAGAAAATTCAATCGCCGGCCACGAGTGAACTCTTTCTTTTGCCTTGAGGTTATCCCTCTCGGAGCCCAGCCGTAGCGACGACGTCCAACATCTTTATTACAGCCAGACTCATCGACAAAGACGAGCTGCCATGATTTACATTGTGCAATTTCATGTAGATATCGGTCTAGGAGTTTAGGGTTATTATTATTATGAATAAAAAGGCCATATGTAAAGACAAAAAAGCACTTAAAAATAACCCTGTAATTATTAAAATCGCGCTGTGATAAATGACCAATCGGCTAGTGTGTCTAACGCATCGCGATGCGTGTACTTGTGGTGTTTTGCGTGGTTAGTTACGGTTCCCTGGCCTAAGTACGGCTAAAATACAGTGTTACTAGATGCCCCCTATCTAGCCCCTTTTTTGATTTTTTTTTACATAAGTTAATTAATTTAAATAATATTTTTAATTAAAGAAAAATTGAATTATTTAATATATAAAATTTAAAGAATATTAAGTAAATAATATATATACTAAGATATTTTTTAGCTATTATAATACAATAAATTAATACATCATAACTTTTATAATACGTTAAAAAATACCTAGCCGAGTTATAAACCCAGTAGACTTGCCGCCATCATCATCGGGCAAGCCGTGCAGTTCACTGTACCACTCATTTCTATACCCCGGACTATCCATCTTCTCCAACAGCTCCTTGTACTATTCAAACATATCCTTTGCCCGCTGTACCGAAGACGCCAGGTCTGGACAATCCTCCGGGCTCTCGTAAAAGGTAGCCCCAAGGGGCTTCAGCGCCGCGGCCCTCTCATCCATGGTAAGCACCCAGGTCATCTTGTTCCACCAGTCCCCGGGAAATGGCGGCAGTGTGTCCCTGCTTCCGCGTCGCTCTTGCTCCTCTAGTAGCCGGACCTGCGGCTTGTCAGGGCAGTATTTGGCGACCCAGACACCACCGGTGGAAGGGTCAACACGCAACCTCCAGTCTTGGCGGAAAGTGGTGGCGATACTCGACGTCGTCGTCCATGGCCGTCTTGTGCCGCGCGTACGTGCCCCAGTCGGGCCACCAGCGGGCCCCGAGTTGCAGGAGACGGACAGGCATGTCGTCCTCGTTGCCGGAGCGAGAGGCGTCGTGAGTTCGTGGGAGGTTGAGGCGCTGCATCTCAATGGGACCCGGATTCGCCATGACCACGCCGCCGATGGATGGGTAGGCGACGACGTAGGCGGCGACGGGGTTGCTGAAGATATTGGACCGCATACCAGATGGCGGTTCAGCGTATTCGGGGCGGTAGGGGTCGAAGAAGCATTCTTCTGTGCCGCCTGGGAATGAGAAACAGAGCCAAGTGAGAGCGAGGAGGATAGCTACCCGCCGAAAGGTGGTTAGAGGAAACATGTTGGGTTGGAAAGATTGGCGAGGTTGCCGAGTCTAGAGGAAAGGCATAGCGGTGCGGGGGACAAACCAATCTCTTCAAGACGTGTCCAAACGTCTGCTGTCATCTTCTGCCTGCATGAGGTGCAAGGGAGTCAGCCAGCACCGGGTTTCCATGGTCAGTCGCGAAAATCCAGCCTCGTTCAATGCTAGCCATTCACCAACTCGTCAGTCGCCGATCCTATGATAACGTGGGGGCCAGGGATTGGGCATTTGATTTAGATCTCACGCTCCGCCTTGGTTGTGTTCCTTCAAATTCGGCCCCCAGCCAACATCTACCTCCCACATGCGTTGTCGCCAGATGACTGCAGCCCCTTAGTTTAACCGCCCTTTTCCAAGCCTAAAATGAGGAAACTGCACGTCGAAGGTTTCGTATCTGGCCTTGTATTGTTTCATCTTTGGAATCCTACCGTTTAGCAGAGACTCTTGTTAGCTTCGTTGGTAATAGACTCAAGGAGGGACCGAATGTTGGTTGGCGGCCATGTATTATTTATAGAAATCTAGCCATTAGGATGAATGCTATAAAGAATGATCGTGGGTCCCCTTTCAAAACCTCAATCTTCCTTGTTTATTTCAAAGACACTGCCTTGGCCATGTATCCCAATACATTTCACATCTTACTGGGCCTTGCCCTGTTGCCTCTGCTTTGTATAGCCTCGCCCACTCGAGAGATGACTTTGACGGATGAATTCGTCCATAAGAAAGAAGATGAGACTCCTGCTAGCCCACCGCTGACTGCCAGCAATTCCTTTGGGACGAGCCTTTATGGCTGGAAGCACGTAAAAACACGGCCTCTCCGTCGGATAGTTGACTAAAACAGCCACTCAGAGGATGTGATGAGAGGCAAAGATCCAAAATTAGACAAGACTATAGAGATGCCAATAAAACTTTCAACCTAGACGGAGCCAAGTCCAGCATTGCGTGGGACTCCGCAGCCGCATTGCAGTATTTTGAGCCAGAGCGTAAGGGAGTTTGCTTGGTATAAAGGCTCGTAGGCTGGCTAACCATTTCTAGGTTTGAACAAGCACCAACAAGGCCAAATCCAAGCCGTTCTGGCAAATATGACAACCATTTCTGAAGGGTGGCTGCCTCGACCCTTTGCCAACTGGATTTTGAGGTATAGTGACGCATTCGTTACGCCCGTCTGTGCTGATGGCTTATATTATATAGGTGGCCTGCGTGTCAAAGGCGTACTGCGATACAAACGTTAAAGGGACTTGTGCCACAGCCGAGGGTGACAAGGAATACGGCAAGGGTGCAGAGGCCGTGAATCCGAGCAAAGATAATGACCGCAAGTGGCCGCTCATTAACTTCTGTCCGGGATATTTCAACTACGGCCCGCTCGATGATAGGGTGAGCGAGTATAAGAAGAACAAACAGGTCACGTACAGGGATAATTTGGACTATTATTATCCTAATCTAGGTAAGCACTCTTCCCTAAACGTAAGACGGTTGGCGGTGGCTTGCAGTTATCAAGTGAAATTGGCATTACATCATCTTCGGTCTTGTTGCCACTACGCTTGCGCTCCATGATGTCGTTACTTTTGACTCACAAACGCACAACAAGGCACCGTCTTCCTTCCGCCCGCGCCCGGACAGCATTGGCATCACAAGCACAGAGATGGACGGCAAGACGGTCTTCGACATGACCAGCGACCACCACAGCTGTCTTGATGCCGCAGACAACGACGACGGCGAGACATTTGAGGTCGGCAGGCCCATTGGCAACGACCAGTATCCAAAGGCGTACCTCGACCAGCTTGATGCGTGGTACAAACAGATTGCTGACGTCAAAGCTGGGTCGACCGACAACGGCGGGACGTGCAATCTAGACATGACCGAAATATGGACCTGCGAAGCCGTCGAGAAGAACCTGTATGCCCGCCTCCATATTACTGATGCTTCCGGGATCACCCTGTACCAGACAGAATTGTCGACCAGCTCGCCCGGCGTGCCCATCAACGACAAATTCCCGCTGCACCTGAAGAGGGTACCATGAGGACACATTGAGCGTTGTGGCTGAACATGCTGGGGATTATATCCAGTTTCAGTACGGCGAGACGTCCTGGAAATCTAGTGATGTGAGCGGCGGTGCTTTCTGCAAGCTTGACGGCGACGATTGGAACAAAATGGGCCAAAGGGCTGTCCCAGCGGCGCAGCAATAGCAAGCACTCTATATATTCAAGTCGATTTATAAAAGAAAAAGAGGGCTGACAAGGTATTAGTCAAGGAAATTCAAGTGTCGGTATAAATGTCAGGATAGAAAGTACGACATGTTTTGTATTAAAATAGTATAATATAGTTAGGCAATCGTATCCCGTGCTATGATTCATTGCATTTACTTGTAGAAGCCTCCCAGTCAGACAATACAGGTGTCACCGTTATTTTGTGTCGTAAATTCAAGCTGAGAAACATGTCATGATAAATGGTGCAAGGGCCCAATAACACTTGTCAACGGCGTTCAAAATCAACTTTTGGAATATTTGTCATGGCCACTCCACAATGCCTTCAACTCGGGCCTTTGTAAAGCTGTTTTAATGCTGGGCCCAAGGCATCCTCGGTATATTGCCCCATGATTTTCATCTCGGAAGAGATGCCTCTAGTTTTGCACTCTTAAACCCGGGGCAGGGCAGCCATTTACCGCGGCTGCGAGTATCTCGTCTGCAGCCGGAACATGTGGCATCGTAACCTTGGGCCATCTACATTGCACCAACCTTGTCCAACATTTTTGAGTCGACGGTGTTTTTCAAGAATGACGAAGCGAATAATGGGCATGTTGCATATATCCACGCTAGTTGCCCTGGTGTTTGAAATGTAAAAGCAATTTACACGGCGGAATATAAAGCTTTTGGTGATGTTGAATTAAGGATGCCTAATAAGATTGATAATTAAGGAACCCTCTGAAGGCCCTGGCAATTTGACTAGACCCCTTCTATCCTAGTAGAGCCCTTGAGAACCCCTGCTAGTGCTTCTTCCAACCTGAGCCTTAGAAAAGCAATCATGACCAACAGGGTCCAAAAAGCCCTGTTTATTCCAACACCTGGCTTGTATGATTAACTGTAGTATAAGAACTTGTATAAAGTATAAATTAGCTATAAATTAATACTTACATATGATTTATATAAATACAATTCTATAACACGCTACAACTTGACTCTTGAACTTGAAATAAATATTCGAAATCACTTACTAGGTATCCTATAGGTACTTTAATGCAGCTTGACACTATTAACCCCTCTGCTTCCGTTCCTGGAAGAGATCATGTGATGGGGGTCGTTCGCGTGGAGACAAAACGGCACCGGGGGCTTCCCCAGACTCGATCCTCCCTATTTAAAAACTGTGGGTTATTAGCCGGACCTCGCTAGTTTCCAACCACAAAGCACGAGTATCATTAATCTCTCTACACTACTCTACCGTCTGGGAGGCATTAACCGCCTAATATGCCGTCTCTACACAACGATCCCACTGCGATCCGCCGCCTCTTCGCATAAAAGGTGAGCGAATTATTATAGCCATTCGCGAACCTCTCCAAAGACTGCACAAGCAAGAACTACCCGAATGACCCGACTATGAAGCACCCATTATAAAGCTTATTCAGCTGGGCGCCAAGATGTCCCAACAATCGGAAGCAGTTGAAGCCGGGCGAAAACTCGAGGCAATAGCCGATACCATCTCTCCTCTTTCTTGTATATATTCGATTATTGATACCCAGCTTACTCGAAATACTCGAGACTGTGTCAGCTTACGTCTTGATTATGGATACTCGAGTCCTTTCCTTGCCTTGGTAGATGAATGGCTACGATGGTGCGAGGAACATGTTCGGAAACGACCCAGCAGACGCGTCTTTGACGATATTCAGGGCTTTGAGAATGCCCATAAAGAGCGCACATGCCTGCAGTCCAGCGCACGGCTAATACAGCTTATATCGCAGACGATCTCTTTTACCCGTTTGGCAGCCTGGGGCGTATAAGAGCTGACGATTCTTGAACCCGGGATGGCGAGGTGCTACGTCTAGGCTGGGCTGCCCAGGCAACAAGCTGACAGCTGTTGAAGAGGACGTGTACTTTGCCAAGAGGGAACTCGACAGCGTTGGCTGGCAATAGAGCTATTGCAAGTCTTTCTGCTCAGTGGGGGACGGTGCGACAAATTGAAGCGCCTGCAGTAAGCTTTTGCCGCGGGGTGCGGCCTTGCAAGGGATGCCATTTAGTGACGGTACTTGGCCGCAGAGGTAAAAAAAGAAGGGAGGAGACATGGTCAAGGGCCGGAACGCGTGTTGGGATAACAGCGGCTTGCAGAATGATGACTACTGTGGTATATCCATTGGCCTTACATGATGCGTGACTAGTAATCCGGCACCAAAACTCGCATTAGTGGTATCCTCATGAAACAGCTTTTCCTGCGCAGTCTGCCTAGTTTGGGTGACATGCCGGGCAAGTGTTAGAAGCTGGAGTAAAGAACGAGACAGCAACAGGGACAGGTATGCGCAGGGAAATCCGCGTGGAGAACAAATTGCAAGGCAGCTTTTACAGACCGTCTGCAGGCGGGCGACGGACTTTACGTGAACCCAAAAGCAGCCATGTGGAGATGGAGGGTCGGACTTGCACTGCTGTACGGAGTAAAGGAGTCGTGTTTAACGTGTTGTTCGAGCCAACTAGTAGTCAAAACCAAACTCCTGGAATCAAGCTCAATTCTAGATTAGCACACCAAAGAGTAGGCAGATGGTTGCTATGCACATATATGTTCATACTACATCTACTCAGCAACACCTTCACAAGTACCTGCACGCAGCGCAGCGCTTCATTTGCATAATCGCAGCAGCCAACCAAGGCCGCTCCTATCCCATGATAAAAGCAAACTTGCCTCACAATGAAACAAAATACTCCAGCATAGCCGGGTAAATGGGCGTTCCCAACCCGGTAACGGGGTCCCAGCCCCGAACAGCAGAAAACCCCTTGTTGCCACAGGCGCTGGGCTGGCGGTCGCCGCTGGGCCCGCCCCTGGACTGGTCACCCCCGACGACATCGGTGAACATGGCCGGGTTGCTGTACAGTGCCGGGTTCGCAAAGCCAATGGTCTTCTTGCCGGCCTTGATGCGCTCCTCGTTGATGCGGGTGAGGATGGCGCCCACCAGGGGGGCGCTCATCGAGGTGCCCCCCGACGTGCCCGGCTCGCCGTTGACCACGACGACGCCATTGTCCCCGAGGGCCGCGACGTCGGGATACCCGCGGCCGGCGCGGGTGTAGATGCCGCCCGGGGCCGGGACGGGCGCG